AGGATGGGGTCGGGGTCCCGCGAGCCGCTGCGCTGTAGGCGCGGTGGGCGGGTGCGACCGCGCCCCCTGGGACTGTGGGTGGTCCCTGTCCCTCTGCCTCAGGAGCGGCTCCACCACCTGGCGGGATGTTTCATGGTTCCACGACTTGGAGGCACCTGGAAAGGGAGGGCAGCCTCTGTGTCCTGCAGGGACGTCGGTGCCACTCCTGCGGCAGAGTCTACACAGGCTCCTGGGAAGAAACCCTGGGGCTGGACTCTGTCTGTACCCCAATCACTGGCTTTCTGGGTCTCACACTGAGAGGCGAGTTGGGGGGACACAGGAAACGCTCAGACCCCTCTCTGGGACTCCCGCGCCTTGGGTTCACCCTATCCCACCCCCCAGCAGGCTCTCCCCCACTGCCACAGCCAGGGCTGACTGTGGCGGATCCAGGCCCCACTTTCTATCTGGTCACCTCAGGGTGGCTGGCACTCAAGTCTCGTGCACAGAGGTGAGACTTCCTAGGGACCTGGAGCAGAGTGGGACTGGGAAACTCAGGGCGAGCTGGCTTCTGGGGCCTGCCTGGACCCAGCCTTGAATGTCTGTCATAGGCCAGTCCTAGAAGCAGGGTGCACAGTCGCTTCAGGGCCCGGAGACAAACTCCCACCGACCCAGGGCCCGGTGCAACCTTCCGGAGAAACACTTGACCAAATCTCTTGGTGTTAAGAGCACTCCTGGGCCAACTGGCAGAGGGGTGGCAAAGATGGCTGGGTCCCAGGCCAGTAGGTGGCATGGTGGCTCAGGTGCTGGACTCCCACATGGCCAACTGAGGTCAGAGTCCCGAACCCGAGCGGCTTGAAACTCACACCTGGTGAACTTGCATGCACATTGAATTCTTGTGAGAAGAATGGAGGACAGATGGATTCTCACTTTGTCTCTCCAGCAAAAAACACACACCCTACAGCAAAAAAATCTCTAAAACAATATAAAGATGGCTGGATCCCATATGGTTCACGTCCTGGACCCAGCTGCTTGACAAATACCCTAGGCATGTGTGTGTGTGTATGTATGCCCAAAATCTCAAAAGGAGAAATTAAGGAAAAGGGATTGTAGTGTGACCATTCCTCCTGGGGGAGAGAGGTGCTTTCTTGCTTAAAAGAAAATAAATCTATCCTTTGATTCAGCTAGTATTTTCAGGAATCTAGTACCTAGAAAAAGCACCTGGACGGGACCAGCAGTTAGCATAATGGCTGTCGCTGGACTCCCACATAGTCGACCGTGGTTTGTGGCCCAGACCCAGTGGCTTAAAACTCACGCCGGGCGCATGTGCGTGCGTGCCCAAGATCCCGAGAGGAGAATGGAGGAGAAGGGATTGCGATGTGGCCATTCCCCCAGGGGGTGATTTCTTGCTTTCTGTCTCTCTGTCTCTGTCTGTCTGGTGAGCGCACGCGCCCTATGGCAAAAACCTCTCAAAAAGGAAAAAAAAAAAAGAAAAAGCATCTGGCTGGGACCAGCAGAAGGTGTAATGGGTGCATTGTTAGACCCCATGTAGTTGACCATGGTTCAAGTCCCGAACCTAGTGGCTTAAAACTCACACCTGGTGCACGTGCATGCGTGCCCAAGATCCTGAGAGAATGGTGGCGAAGGGATTGTGGTGTGGCCATCCCCCCAGGGAGTGATTCTCACTGTCTCTCTTGTCTTTCTCTGTCTCTCTGGTGAGTGCACGTGCCCTTTAACAAAATTCTCTCTCTCAAAAAAAAAAAAAAAAAGAAAAAGGCACCTGGAGGTGGCAGGTGGCATGGTGGTGGTTACAACACTGGACTCCCACGTGGCTGACCTGCATCGGAGTCCCAGACATAGAATCTCGAAAATCACACCAGGTACACGTGCATGTGTGCCCAAAATGCCAGGAGGAGAGAAGGCGCTGCAGACTGCCCACCACTGGGGGGTCACTTTCCCTCTCACTGTCTTCCTCTGTCTCTCATGTGCCCTATGGCACACACACACAAAAAAAAGGAAAACAAAAGGAAAAGCACCTGGCAGCAAGGGCCCTGGGCTGTGGGGACCACTGCAGCCATGCATGGGCGCAGAAAGTGGTTTAGAAGCTGCATACGCGCTGGGAAGGTGCACGCAAGTGTGGCACATGGACAGCAGGCTGGGGCGTGTGGCCACTGCCACGATGCTGGCATGGTGATGCTCGGGCTGTCCTGAAGGAAAGTGAGCTGTAGGGCCATGGCACGGGTATGCAGCCCAGACCCCACTGGGCACCCACCCTCATCCCGGCACAAGGAGAACCTGCCATTTTGAGTAACAACGAAGCGTTCACCTCACACCCAAACCTGGGTGTTGCACTGATGGGGTGAGGACCCTGGTCTGAGGGACTTCAAAGACTGGTGAGTTTGTTTCCTGTATGCATAGTGACCCTCCAGGTGTGGGGGGAGGCCAGAGACGGTCCCAGGAGCAGGGCTGTGGCCTAAACAGCTTCCAGAGGGGACTGTCCCTCTCTGGGTCTGCAGAAATGGTGCAGATGTCCTGTCTGGGCAGAGGCAGGTGCCCCAGGGAACATGTCACATAAGACCCCATCAGACAGGCCTGCAGGGCTTGCCCAGCCCAGACTTTACCCCGGGTGAGCAGTAGTCCGTCTGTCTCCTCCTTACAGGAGGGCCATGTGGGGGATTCCGGAGTGATCCCACCCTAGGGCAGGAGCTGCATGCCAACAGCACCCAGAGGCTCACTCTGCAGTATCTGGCAGCTCTCTGGCCTCCTACCCCTCCCATAGCCTCGCTGTCCCTCCCATAGTCATGGTCGCCTATAGGATTCCCCATGTTCAAAGGTTCAGAAGTGGCTTCTGCCCCTGAAGACAGGCACGGGAGGGCACTCAGGAGAGGGGCTGCTGGGCAGTGCCTCCACCTTGGTGAGATGAGGGAGGGGGTCTGGGGCACCACCCCCACCACCTCACTGCCCTGGAGGGTGCTGGGTAATTCTCTGCGGCTCCAGATGTTCAGCAGCTGCCTTGCTGCTTCCGCCCCTTCTCCCGACCCTGCACCAGTCAGGAAGCATCTCCTCCTGTCCCTGGGCTCCCAGCCACCCCCTCCTCCCTGCACCCCATTTCCTGAGCGGAGGCGTCTGTGCAGCCTCTGCTCCCTCTCCCGCAGGGCCGCTTGTCCCCCCAGGCCTGGGCTCTGCTCCCAGCTGCTGTGCACACTCATGGGGTTGGACTCCTTGCCCAGGGGTGACCTGGCTCCCCACCCTCCAGCCTCTGGGACTGATTCTCTCTCTCTTCGTCCCCTCTAAGGTTGGTACTGCTCCAGAATGAATCAAAGGTCTCCTGGGAGGCCAAACAGAACTAGCCAGGGAGGCAGCCCTGCCTCATTGGGGGAGGAGGGAGGCTCCCTTTGGGGTGGAGGCTCTGTGGGGGTGGGGTACATGCCTGCAGCCAAAGCCACTGGGAGCCCAGGGAGGTGCCTCCAGAGCTGACAGGCAGGGATGCAGATGCCCAGCACCACCACAGCTTCCCTGAACAGAAGGTGGGGACCTTCTGGAGGGGACAGCTCCCTTCTTGCCTGTACCTCTGTTTCAGCAGAGCTGGTGGTTCTGGGGCACTTAGGTTCCCAGGGCTGGTGGGGTCAGGGTCAGGCCAGGCACAGGCTACAGCACTGAGCCCAAGGGCCAGTGGCTCCAGCCCACTGACCTCTGGCCCTGAACACCGTCTCTGGCTCCCCCTCTCCTCCTAGAGCTTCCTGCTCTCTGTGGGGGAGGGCCAAGGGATGAAGAAAAGCTTCTGCCTCCAGACAGGTCTCAGAGCAGATCAAGCTGCGAGACCGCCCCCATGCGTGAGGGTCCTCCAAGTGGGATCTCGTCCTGGGAAGACAGAACGGAACGTGGCACACCCAGCAAATGCAGCGATCTCCCAGGACACACAGCCTGTGTGATGGGTCTCCTGGCAGCCCCGGCCTGGGACAGGTGGCACGGTTCCCCTCCTGGGGCCCTGCTGTTGCTGGTCACACCTGATGCTGACAGGAGGCTGGAGTCCGGCCCTGCTGAGGGTTCAAAGGAGGTTCAGGCCAGCAGATGCTAATGGTTATGTCACTGAGCTTCCAGTCAACCCAGGTTCAGTCCGACCTGGCAGCGTGAAACTCACATCAGGCACCTGTGTGAATGCATGCCCAAAATCCCAAGAGGAGACTGAAGGAAGAGGGATTGTGGCATGGTCATTCCCCCCAGGATGGGGGCGTGATTTCTCACTGGCAAGCTCATGCGTCCTTTTTTTTTTGGAGAGATTTTCGCTATAGGCACGTGCGCTCGCCAGACAGAGACATAGTGACAGAAAGTGAGAATTCACCCCCCAGGGGGGATGGTCACGCCTCAATCCCTTCTCCTCCATTCTCCTCTCGAGATCTTGGGCACACACGCACATGCGCCCGGTGTGAGTTTTAAGCCACCGGGTCCAGGACGCGAACAGCGGTCAACTACGTGGGAGTCCAGCGACATAGCCATTACACTAACTGCTGGTTCCTGAGTCCTTTTTTAAAAAAACCTCTCTCTCTCTCTCTCAAAAAAAAAAAAAGACTTTCCTGGGAGACTACATGCCTGCTGCCCTGTACCAAGGGTCTCACCTCCACCCAGGACTGTTTCTCCCACAGGGACGAGGGGGCTGTCCTTGGAGGGTCAGCACCCCCCACCTAGAACCACTCGTTTTGTCATCCGCGCCAGGACAGCAGCAATCCTGCTGACCCCAGAGCTAGGCGGGGCTGTCTGGACCAGGCAGTGTTCCCAACCCAGGCACCCAGCAGGAGGGTGAGGGGTTTTCAGGCAGACAGTCTCGGGTCACCGAGTTCCCCGTTTAGGTCTGGCTGACTATGGGTGTGTGGAGCTGTGTCCCCCGTGGGCTCCTCCTGCGGCCCCTAGCTCATAGCTGGGCTGGCCTTCAGCACAGGAAAAAAAGGGGGAACTCTCAGAGTCCTCCAGAAAAGAGGAAGGTTCAGCTCGAGGCTGGGTCTGAGGAGGATGGAGCTCAACCAGGGTCTTCAAAGAGAAACCTCACCCAGGCAAGGCCCACCTGGAGCTTGGCACTGCCGGCTTCTATGAAGAGGATCCAGGAGGGGGCGGGCAGGCAGGTGGCCTTCTGAGGTGGAGCAGCAGACCTAGCAGGCCAGGGGAAGCACAGCCTCCCTGCTCCAGGCTGAGACCAGATACACGAGGAAAGCCAGCAGGTACCCACAGCCAGCCTGGTGCAGGCCTTGTTTTCTTTCGAGGGAGACCAGGAATCTGCCAGCAAGAGGTCAGAGCTGCCCATTTCTGGTCTGTCTGGCTGTCCATCTCCTACCTTAGAGGGAGGTGAGAGCTGGCTGTGGTGTGAGTGGGAAGTGGGTGAAACAGGGCCTGGAGAGGAGGCCACTGCTGGTCGGAGTGGTCTGTGAATCTGGGAATCTACCACCAGCGCCCACTGTAGGTGACCGTTTCCCCAGCAACCATGACTCACAAAGCTAGCCTGTGAAGGGCAGAAGCAGTCTCCCCTGGGTCCCCGAGAGCCCAGGTCACAATGGCCGCTAAGGCCCAGCCCAGAGGAGGCATGCCCCATGACGGCCCTGCAGGCTTGCCCCTGCAGCTGCCCGCTGCCCAGCTGGGCCTGGGTCTCCCGCTGCGACCTTGGCCTGGTACCTGGACGTCAGGGCTAGCGCGGAGCGGCCTGTGGCCTCGGCGCCCATGTGCGTCATCTGCTTCGTGAAGGCGCTGGTGTACGTCTTCAAGATCTACCTGACCGCCAATTACACCTACAACTTCCGCAGCTGGCCGGTGGACTTCCGCTGGGACGAAGTGCGCACTGCGGGCGCCGGCAGCAGCAGGCACCGCGCGCTTACGTGCGCCGCAGCTGCAGCGGGCGTGTGGCTGCTGCGTGACGCGGCCCTGGGCGGGGATGCGCCTGGGCGACCCTTGCGCGGGCAACGAGATTGACACCATGTTCATGGATCGCCGTCAGCACCCTGGCAGCCACGGCCGCGGCCTGCGCCTCGTCATCTGCTGCGAGGGCAATGCTGGCTTCTATGAGATGGGCTGTCTGTCCGCACCGCTGGAGGCCGGCTACTCGGTGCTGGGCTGGAACCACCCAGGCTTCGGGGGCAGCACGGGTGCACCATTCCCTCAGCACGATGCCAACGCCATGGACGTGGTGGTCAAGTACGCGCTGCACCGGCTGCACTTCCCACCCACACACGTGGTGGTCTACGGCTGGTCTATCGGGGGGTTCACAGCCACCTGGGCCACCATGACCTACCCAGAGCTGGGCGCGCTGGTGCTGGATGCCACTTTTGACGACCTGGTGCCACTGGCACTGAAGGTCATGCCCCACAGCTGGAAGGGGCTGGTGGTGCGGACGGTGCGGGAGCACTTCAACCTCAACGTGGGCGAGCAGCTGTGCCGCTACCCGGGCCCCGTGCTGCTGCTCCGGCGCACCCAGGACGACGTGGTCAGCACCTCCAGCCACCTGGCCCCTCTGCCGCCCAGCCACGTGGAAGGCAATCGCGGCAACGAGCTCCTGCTACGCCTGCTGCAGCACCGCTACCCGGCTGTGATGGCACGTGAGGGCCGGGCCGCAGTGACCCGCTGGCTGCGGGCCGGCAGCCTGGCACAGGAAGCCACCTTGTACGCGCGCTACCGGGTGGATGAGGAGCGGTGCCTGGGGTTGCTGCGTTCCTACCGAGCCCACTGCGAGCAAGAGCTGGAGGACGAGGAGGCCTGGGGGTCTCACGGTCCTGCCTTCCCATGGCTTGTGGGTCAGGGCCTCAGCCCACGGCGGCGGAGACAACTCGCGCTATTCCTGGCGAGCAAGCACCTCAAGAACGTGGAGGCAACGCACTGCAGTCCGCTGGAGCCGGAGGACTTCCAGCTGCCCTGGGAGCTGCAGCCTTCACCAACTCACATGCCTTCTGGGCCTCCATTCCGTTCCCACCCTGTGCCCAGAACCAGTGAAGCTGGCCCTGGTGGGGCCCCCTGACCTGTCAGGGGTGAGGCAGTCCAGGCCCAGTGCTTGTCCTTCGCTGGGGTACCTGGCCTTCCCACTGCTCTCCCTCTCCTCCCTCCTTCTGGTCTCCTCTTCCCACAAACACTTCTGAGTGCCTGTGCCTAGCTCCGAAAGAGAACGCCAAGATTAACCTGACCCACTTTCTGCAAATGCCGTGCAATGGGGCCTTGATGGTTACGAAAGGGCGACGAGAGTGGGCCGTGGGACCACAGGGAGGTACCCTTCACCTGGCCTGGGCTGCAAGATGGCTCTTGGGAGGAAGATATGGGGCCGAGCCTTGAAGGCTGTAGAGGTGGCCTCGCTGTGAGAGGGGACGTTGGCCTTGTAGGTTACTGCGCGGGTCTCAGCAGCTGGGCAGTCTCAGGAGTGTGATGCCTCTGGTCTGTGGGGCCCCTCCCCCCGACTCCGACACTGCAGGCCTCCACAGGAGGAGTTTCACAGAGGCCCTGCAGACCAGAGTAACCTGTGGAGCAAGAGACAGGCCTCTGCTCACCACCATCCAAAACAGCCATTTCTGTATGGTGTGCCCTGAACCGCAGGAAGCAGGACTACTGGCTGCCCCGATGCCCCCAGTCCCTGGGGATTGGGGGCATGGAGCCAGGCAGGGAGCCCCAGAGCACCTGGCCCATGCAAGTCACCTAGAAGAGCAGGCGAGCCAAGGGAGAACAGGGGAGGGGCATCAGAACCTGCACAGTGGCCTGGCTGGAGGTAAGGCATGCAGGCCAGGGGAACCATTTCTAGAGGGTCTGAATACCATTTAAGGATTTTCATCCAGGGCAAATGCAAACGAGGGCCAAGGACTGTTGTTGTGGGATTTGTCAAGTGGGGCGGCTGCCAGGTGGTGGTCACAAGCCTTTGCTGGTCCAGAGGGTCTCGTAGCTCAGTGGCCTGGGGCAAGTTGCCCTAACTTCAGCTTCATCTGTGCAGTGGAGAGGGCGCCTGTCCTCACGGTTGCTGTGACAGGAAGCAGGTTCCACGCCCTGAGCACTCGGCTGCCTAGCGGAGACGCGCTGGACGAGAGGAATTCGGGGGCCCGGGGTTTTGGCCTTCTGCGCAATCCTGGTGAAAAAAAAGTCCTCATAAAAAGTCCGAACTATCGTAGAAAGAGGAAACCAAAGACAGGAAGAAAAAGTGAAAAGGGACCTACTGGGGGAGAGGCTGATCCCCACCATAGAGGGAGCTCACGGGGTTCGGATCTGACCCGCCGAGGCTCGCTCACAGCAGGATACCCCGTGGCCCAGCCCTGGGCTCACAGCGCCACGTTGGGCGGTCTTCCTGGATCCCACCTTCCCGAGCTCTTGCTCCTCCGGCTGTTCTACCTGTGCGTCTCGCTGGTGGGGCCAACCTGGGTGGGACTCTGTCGACCTCGACCTATCAGGTTGGAAAGGAGAGACCGGAGCTGGGCGAGAAGACACTCTGATTGGACACCGCTCGTGACGGGCGGGGCGAGGGCGGAGCACGCTCCTGGGCGGAAGTGGCCGTCGCGTCGCTGATTACGTAAGGTCTCAGGGGCCGGCGCGGTTCCGCTGGCTAGTGTGTACGCGGCTCCCGGCTCCCGGCCTCCGGCGCCGCCCGCACGGCCCCTGTACCGCTTACCCCTAGGCCCCGACGCCAGCTGCCACTCGGCCGCCACTGGACATGGACTCCGCCGGCCAAGGTACCCGCGTGGCCCAGCGCCCCGGCCGAAGACGGGTCCGGGTCACCCCAGTGTCCTCCCGTTCCTGGGGTCGCGTCTCGGTCCTTCTACCTCCGCCAGCCCGCGGCCCCTCTTCGGCTCCGGGCCCCAGACCTCGAAGCTCCCGGAGGTCATGGTGCGCTTCCGCCCCGCGGCGCCCGCCGCTGCCTGGGCTCCCCGGGACCGCGCCGCTGTCCGGTCCCCGGCGCGTTTCCCTCGCTGCCAGAGCGGGCTTCCTCACTGCAGGCCGCTGTGGCGATGCCGCTCACCCCCGCGCGGCCCTGGCCCTCTGTGCCGCCCTCCGTCCCTGCACTTGCTCCCGGGACACTCCATCTGGCCCTGAACCCAAGCCCAGGTGTAGTGCCGGCGGCTCCCGGGCAGAGGGGAGGCGAAACCGCCCTCCAGCTCAGCGCTGCCTCTCGGGTGGCAACGCCGCCGCTGGCTCCCTAGGGCTTGCCTCCTGGCGGAGGGTGGAGCGAGTCAGGGGCACACCCAGCGTTCCGGCCAGTTTCCAGAAGGGCCCAGGAGATTAAAATCTGGAGGTGACACAAGTCTGTCTTCCATTCTGGGGCTCTAGAGCAGGGAGACTGAAGTCCTGGACCGCGGTAGTACAGGGGGCTTCTCCACTGTATTAATTCAGCACTAGAATTCCTGGCCTCCCGTACGGAGACGTCTGCTTTTGGTGATTATTTACAGAATAGATGAGCACCAAAAGCTGGCCTGGAGGCTTTTCCCTGTTTAGCTGGCAGCTCTAAGCATCACAGATGTTGAACTCCGGCCATAAGAATAACGGAAAATTTTTATCGAGCACTTCCTTTGTGCCAAACACCATCCTAAGATCTTTTCTTTGTGAGAAGATGTGTACTTGCCAGAGAGGGAGAGCAGGAAAGCATCTTCCATGGGGCATGGTCACAGCAACCTCTTCTCCATCTCTGCCTCCCTTCAGGATTTTGGGGATGCACACAGGTGCCCGTGGTGTGTTTCTCAAGCCACTGAGTCCAGGACTCGAACCACTTGGTCAGCCATGGCCATATGGGACCCAGCTGTTTTCACCATGCCAGGAGCCAGTCTCATCTGGTTTTCAGAGTGAGCTCGTTTGGTTTGTCTTGGCACGACTGTTTTGCAGAGAACTGGGGCTCACCCAGCGGTCTCCGTGTCGTGTTGGCACCAGCCCCACACTTTGTGTTTTGGTCACACCTGAGTTGGGACGTGGCTTGGGTGTGGGCTGGTGCCTCGCTCATAGCTGTGAGGCACCTGGCACATGCTGGGTCAGTGCCCATGGGGTAGTGTCCCTGGGATCCGGTGTTAGCTTTACAGGAAAGAAACTGTCTGAGAGCCTTCATTTATTTTTTAAAACAGGACCAAAAAGTTGTAGAGAGTTTTTTTTTTGGGGAGGAGGATTTTGCTATAGGGTGCATGCGCTCACCAGAAAGAGAGAGACAGAGAGACAGAAAGCGAGAAATCACCCGCTGGGGGGATGGCCACACCACAATCCCTTCTCCTCCATTCTCCTCTTGGGATCTTGGGTGGGCACGCACACACACCCGGCGTGAGTTTAAGCCTCCAGGTCCGGGATGCGAACCATGGTCAACTACATGGGAGTCCAGCGACACCCATTATACCAGCTGCTGGTCCCTAGGTAGGCCTTTTTCTGATTTGTGTCTTGTGGACTTTCAGTGCAGACAGTATGGTGCATTTAAGATGAAGATAGTGAGGGCCAGCAGGAGGCACGGTGAAGGTACTGGACACTCCCACGTGGCCGACCACGGTTCAAGTCTTGGACCTCATGGTTTCCTTTCTCACTTTTTGTTTCTCTCTCTCTGGTCAAATTAATTAATTAAGAAAAAAATAGTGACGGCAGGAATTCGAACCTGATCTGGAATGCGCCAGGTGTGGGGCGCAGTGTCCTGCTGCTCCTGTCTGCATTCCGCTGCCTCGTGGCCATGGGGGCAGGGGCAGGAGGGTGTTTGGCTCATCTGCAGGAGGGGCTGGATGGCCGGCCAGCTCCTTGCACGTGACTTCAGCCTGTGCCTTGGCGGATGAGCCGAGTGCAAAGTGATGGTTGTCAACTATAACAGTGTCCTCAGGCTATAGTCGTCCTCAGCAGCTGGGAGGTCTGTCAGATTGGGCTGTTTATCTGCAGTGAAGGTTTCTTGCTCACGATCGCATTCCCATAGGTCGGTCACCCTGCACCGGCGTTCCTGGTGCAGCGCGGGTGGCCTGAGATGTGGCTGCTCTCAGTCTAACCCCCAAGCCGACATCGAGGGCCTCCCGGAAGAGAGGTGGTGTTCGTCTCCAGGCCTCCTGCTCTTAGACCCCTGCCCTCATCCCTCGTCCCTGTCCCTTGTCCCTCGTCTGGGTGGAGACTCTAGCTCTGTTTGCTTCTTGGTAACTTTCCTGCCACTTTCTGACCTCCTTTTGTCTCTGGTAGATATCAACCTGAACTCCCCTCGCAAGGGTCTGCTGCCGGACCCGATGGCCGACATCCCTGTCGACTCCACCATGGCTGCCCGGACTCCTGCCGCTGAGGGTCTGACGGAGGCTGAGGAGGAGGCGCTCAGGGCTGAGCTGGCCAAGGTGCTGTGCCTCGGCTGTCTGTACTGGGGGTACCCCGAGTCAAGGCCCAGGACTGCTTTTGACGAATCATCCTGGGAGGTTGCTTGCCCTGTCCTGTGTGCCAGCCATTGGGAACCCAGCCGTGGCCTGACACAGAGCCGTGGGGGGGGGACAGGGCCTGGATCCTCCTCCCTCCCTTCCTGCCTGGCTGCAGGCACCTTGTGGGCCTCTCTGGAGAGCACACAGTGGCCCACAGGTGCAGCCTTCCTGAGCATGCCATCTGCTGGTGCCTTCTCTGCTGTAGGTAGCGCTTGGCAGTTGTTTCTTTTATTTTTTTTATTTTTTGGAGATGGTTTTGCTATAGAGCACGTTGGCTCACCAGAAAGACAGAGACAGAGAGACAGAAAGTGAGAAATCACCCCCCAGGGGGGATGGCCATGCCACAGTCCCTTCTACATTCTCCTCTCAGGATCTTGGGCACACATGCACACATGCCCGGCGTGAGTTTAAGCCACCTGGTCCAGGACTCGAAGCGTGGTCGGCTACATGGGAGTCCAGTGACAGAGCCATTATGCCATCTGCTGGTCCCTCAGCAGTTGTTTCTAATCCATCTGCCCTGGATTTTCATTTTTCTCTTTTAAGAATTATTATTTATTTATTTTAATTTGGCCAGAGAGAAAGAGAAAGTTAGAATACAAGCCACCAGGTCCAGGACTCGAACTGTGGTTGGCCATGTGGGAGTGTCTAGAGCCTTAACCACCATGCCACCTGTAGTCCCATTTTCTTTTTTTTTTTCCCCCAGAGAGGTTTTTTTGCTATAGGGCGCATGTGCTCACCAGAAAGACTACATGGGATTTCAGCGAAATAGTCATTATGCTAACTGGTGGTCCCCCATTTTCTTTTAAAACTTTTGTTAAAAGGATTCTATGTGATCTTTCTGTTTGTTTGCTTGCTGTGGGGGAGGGAGAGAGAGAAACGAGAAGTGAGAAATCAGTCCCTTCTCCATTTTCTCGGGACTTTGGGCATGCAGGCGTGCGCGTGGTGTGTTTTCAAGCCACTGGGTCTGGGTCCAGAACTTGCCCTGCACGTTTGGCCATGTGGGGCCCAGCCGCCTTACCACCATGATGCTGACTGGCCCTTCATGCGATCTTTGAATTGAGTCTGTTAAGAGTAAAACAAATTTGTGTGAAAAATAATAATAATAAAATAAGTTGGAAAAAAAGAGTAAAACAAATTAGGAACAAAACCCTCCGAGCACGCCAGTCCACACCGTGTGCCTCGAGTGCGGCTTTGATTCTGACAGAGCTCAGTGGTGGCCTCCAGGTCTCAGGATCTGGGAGGAGGGACCTGCCCCACGAGCACACTGCTGAGTGCCACCTCGCCTCCTGGGTGCAGGCTGAGCTGTAGCCCCAGGACCACTTCTCACCTCCTCCCTCCCCACGCCTCCCCGCGGGGTGAGCTGTGCTGCCCATGCTGGCCTCTAGCTGCCGGCCGAGTAAACCGCATCTCACGGCCTTCACGCACAGCTGTTGGGAAAGAAAGTTGAGGGAAAAGTAGGAAGGAGTTCAGAGAGGCTTTACTTTACATTTTATTTCCAAAAATATTGACTTAAAAACTAAAAACTATGGGAAGCAACAAATGGTGTAGTGTTTAGATCACTGGACTCCCACATGGCTGATTGTGGTTTGAGTCCTAGACCTGGCGGCTTGTACTCATGCTGGCTGTGTGTATGTGCATACCCAAGATCCTGGCAGGAGAATGGAAGAGAAGAGACTACGGTGGGGCTATCCCCCTGGGGGGGGGTGATTTCATGGTTTCCATCTCTCTCTCCAGAAAGCTCATGACCCCGTAGCAAAAATCTCTCAAAAAGGAAACAAAAACTACAAAGTCTTTTTCAGAGTTGAATTATAAGATAAAGGAGTTTTATGTCATTTAAAAATTTCAGTTTGTGGGCTGGCAGGTGGCGGGGAGGTTAAAGGTGCTGGATTTCCACATAGCTGACCGTGGTTTGAGTCCTGGACCTGGCAGCTTTCTTTCTCACTTTCTCTCTCTCACTCTGTCCCTCTCTGGTTAAATAAAAATAAAAATAAATAAATAAAAATAATAATTCTTTACATTTTTTTTTCAGTTTGGGACCAGCAGATGGTGTAATGGTTATGTTGCTGGACTCCCATGTAGTCAACTGTGGTTTAACTCCTGCACCTGGAGGCTTACAACTCATGCTGGGCGTGTGTGCGTGCCTACCCAAAGTCCCGAGAGGAGAATGGAGGAGAAGGGATTGCGGTGTGGCTGTCCCCCCTAGGTGGTGACGTCTCACTTTCCGTCTCTTGTCTTCTTTCTGTCTCTGGCAAGTGCACATGTTCCATAGCAAACATCTCTCTTTACAGAGAAAAAAAAAATCCCAATTTATATGTTCGTTAAGGCCACTGAGCTGCATGCCCGTAAGCCGTGGGCCACCCGCCGCATCTGTGGGACGCTCTGTCACTGGCTGTGCCTGCTGGGTGGCCAGTGGTCGGTCCTCACGGATCCTATGTCCAGCTTGTTCCTTGAGTAGCAGGGACAGTGGAGGGCACAGAGACGGCGTCCCCAGCAGGACCTGCACGCTGCGATGCTCTCCCATCCAGCCGGCCCTGTCAGGGCAGCCCCGATGCAAGCCTGGAATGTCCCTGCGTGGGCCGGCCTCGCAGAGCAGCTCGCTTTCCTGCTTTGTTTGTTTCTGTTTTAAATTTGACCTGAGAAGGTCCAGGTCTTTATTATCTGGCATCTTTCCATTACCCAACTCAGCCTGAACACACAGAGATTCACTTCTTGCCTTGTATGACTTTTTTGCCAAGGTTTGGAGCTGACCTCGGGAGCAGAGGTGGTCAGAGCCGTTTCTCAGCTACCTGGCTCTGTCCATCTGTCCACTGTGCAGTTGGGGCCTGGCTGCCAGCAGTTTCGGCCATTGTTTAGCAGGCCTTCCCTAGAGCCTGGGGAGGGCTTCTGCCCTCACGCTGCGCCTGGCACGTGGGGGAGCTTGGAGGGCCTCACATGGCTGGCCTGGGTAGAATGACTG